CACGCTCACATCCCACAGGCGCATCGCTTTGCTACCTCGAAGCTTTCATCTCATCCATTCGTCATCACCCTGACGTCCTTCGAACTAGCATGGCCTCTCCAGCTTATGGCAATTGGGCCAACGCGCCTGCCGATTCATCCCATACTGCGACATCGTCGTTGAGCGGCAACTATCAGAACGGCAACAGCACGCAAGCATCACAATCAGCTCTTCCCTCTCTCTACTCTGCCACATCTCAAGTTCCACTGATCAAAGATCCCTCTCTCCGCGTCCCACCTCCCATTCCAGCTCCTAAAGACCTTCATCCTTTGCCTCCCAGGCTCGAAGATTACTTTGTCTACCCATTCACCCTCGAACATTTCGTTTTGGAGCAAAAGGAAAAGAGGGAAAAGTTGAAGAGGGAAGAGCTGAGAAAGGTCGCTCCTGGTTGGACAAGCGGTCAGACTTTGTTGCCGGACAGCGCTAGAAGCAAGAATGTACCTCTGCCAGCGGAGAGAGGACCCATGGACGATCTGGTCAATCACTTGGCTGCTTTGGACGCTGCTGCTACTGCTGGAGATAGACAAGCATCTCATCCGCATTGAATAGGGGCATCGATCGTCTCCTGATTCTCCGAGGACCAGCTTGAAGCAAATTCATTCGACGCGATCACAGCGATTACGCGCAAGTCCATCCGCACCCCCGCAAACCTGCCTTGGTCGTGCGGGCACCGCACAGCCTTTCACAATCGCCAGTCTAAAGAGTGGACTCTACCTCTCGAGCGTACGTTTGGTCAATTCAGCTAATGCAGACATGAAGACCATGAGGGCTAGCGATTCCTAGCGATTCGATACAAAGGGGAATTGTTGGCTTGACGGAAGACACAAGCGCACGGCTGGCAGAGATACGACAAGACAACGTGATTGCATTCATCCGCCACGAGGCCTACTGCACAGCCAGCTCCTTGTCGGCCTCTTGACGCTTGTGCTCTTTTACTTCCCTAGCTTTGGCTCTTGCAGCATCGAAAATCCCCCACACTGAGTGCGCCCTCGCTGGACCAGGCGGTGGAATCCAGCTCTGTCCTGGGTATGCTTGCCGACCCAGGTTCATCCAGAAGAGAGCCCACAACAACATGATGCCGCTGGAAATCAACACAACAACGAGGTATCGCCAACCTAGTTTCGTAATGGGCGGCGAAGTCGCGGCTAGGAGGGCTGTGGCACCGCCTGGAGGATGCACGGTGCTATGAGAGAAGAAGCCAGAGAAGGTTGAGCACTTTCCCAATCTCATGGTGGCGAATGATAGGCCGACCCACTCACTTGGTGATGAACATGCCAAGCAGGGCCGTCGCCACTGCCATGCCCCCAGCGACCCAGACGAGGCTGCCCATTTGATCCGTGTCGGAAACCTGATAGTGACTGTTCAACTCAAAAAGTTTTGTCACGGCAACGCCGACAAAGGCGCTGACCATCTGGC